GTGTGTGTGTGTGCGTACTTGTGCGTGTTTCTGCGCCTGGATGACAGGTGTTCCCGGGGAAGAGGAGCGCGCGGGATGACGCCTGAAGCTGCGATCTCTCGACGCAGAAGGTGCATCAGGGAGGTTTCTGCCTTTGTTTTCTTATTGTTTGCGCTGTAGACACCGAGAGGCGCAGAAGAGGAACCAGAAACCACGGAATGTTGACATGTTCCCTCCCGAGAAGCGTCAATAATAATGGAGAACAATTAATCCCTCGGGGGCCAGGTTAATTGGTTAAGGGGTTTTTACGCGACTAAGCGCAGTCTCGTTGAATTTGTGATGCCCTACATCGGTTCGCAGTGAGCGGCTGCGGGTTGTCTGGTTTTATTCTGAGGAGCGGAGCGGACTGTCTGGCTCAGAATAAAGATGGTGTTCCGGAGTGAGGAGATGTGTCTGGCGCAACTGTTCCTGCAGTCCGGCTCTGAATATGACTGCATCAGTGAGCTGGGAGAGCTGGGGCTGGTCGAGTTCCGAGACGTGAGTAGATACATGAGCACACAATAATCTCTGGAAACGTGTCTGTCTGTCTGTCTGTCTGTCTGTCTGTCTGTCTATCTATCTATCTATCTGTCTGTCTGTCTGTCTGTCTGTCTGTCTGTCTGTCTGTCTGTCTGTCTGTCTGTCTGTCTGTCTGTCTATCTATCTATCTATCTATCTATCTATCTATCTGTCTGTCTATCTGTCTGTCTGTCTGTCTGTCTGTCTGGCTGTGATGTTTTAAGACAGTCTATGTAACCCTTGAGAGAGGAATTGTTCGTACATTCTTTATTTTACAAATTACACTATCTATCTATCTATCTATCTATCTATCTATCTATTTATGTCTGTGTATGTATGTATGTGTCTATAAATCAATAAATGCATCTATCTATCTGTCTGTCTGTCTGTATGTATGTCTGTCTGCGATGTTTTAAAGACAGACCCTTGAGAGAGGAATTGTTCGTATTCTTTATCTATCTATAAAATCTATACAGATAACTGGTTTAAAGTTGAGGTGGATGTACTTTAAATGTATTTAAGCAACATTTGAATATTGTGTGTAACCAGTAGAAGACTATTTATCGATGCATGTCCATCGCCTGACCTGTGATGCTCCTCTGGTTTCAGCTCAACCCGAGCGTCAGCTCGTTCCAGCGGCGCTTCGTCAGCGAAATCAAGAGATGCGATGAGATGGAGAGGATTCTGGGTAAGACAGTAGAGCACCTGGGCTGGTTCCTGTGGATGCAGCCTGAGCATGTAACACCACCCCCACAGCTGATCATATAAAGCAGGCAGCCAGAGGCCCATTGTGTTCTGCAAAACGCTCCCTCTGAGATTTAAGATTTCACAGCCAGCTCTGACACTTCAAGTGGTAGAGTAATTACCACCAAACAAACCATCACATCAGCATGTTTCTGTCGACAGGTTACCTGCTGAGGGAAATCCAGAAAGCTCATATAGCCGTTCCAGAGGAGGATGAGAGTCCACTCGCTCCACCTCCCAGACAAGTCCTGGAGATCATGGTAATTCTTGTTTTAACCCGATTTTACCATTTGAACACCCACTTCTCAAAGCAGCATATAATTGAGTAAGTTTAAATATACACACACACACCAATATCTCAGTTTCCATGAAATTACAGAGGTTTGTCATCGTCTTCCTTAAAGTGCACACATGTTTATTGAGTCCTGGCTGGAAAACTCATCTTGTTCTTCATGATCTGACAAAATCATAAACATATAATGTATCGTCTCACACCAAATCTTCACAGGAGGGTTGAGAAGGCTCACATGTCGGGTCACTTTACTCACCTTGAGATGTTGACTCTGAATTTAAATTAAAGTTAGCTGCAACTTTCCCACCGGTAGAACAGTGGGATCAGGAGGTCACCGTGTGTCTGTGTTCCGTACCGACTGAGTCACCTCAGCAGCTGAGGGCCCACTTTAGCTTTTGGCTGCCTGACTCTGCTGCTTTTAGCTCCTCCTTGTAATCATCACTAATGGAAGATGATGAAGACAATAAAAGCGATCACCTGCATCATTGCTTTGCCAGACTTTGACTTTTATTATAATTTTTCATGATGAGCTGCTGCATAACACAAGTTAAGGCTCTTTTTGTCTGAGAATGACCTGAAAACTCAATAAGTTGGATGCTCCCAAAAACCAATTATAATACAGTATATTATAGGTATAATTAGGACAATAGTGTGAATTTAAATGTACGGTTGCTTTTATATTTTATTTCATTTACCAAAAACACCCACACACACACACATGTAAACACATACTACACAGTATATAAATACACGCGCTTACATTCATATATAGAGACGAACAACTCATTCTTCCTTAGGTTTTATTCATATACAATAAAATGCATTGTGCAGCTGAAGCATTACTTGGTCTCTTGTGACCAGTGAAATCTAATTGATAATTGTAGCTAATGATTGCAAACCTGGGTAAGTGTTGGAGTATGGAGACATTACTGAGTCATTTATCTGCTGTCATGACTCATTTTCTCTTGAGGTGACATCTAAAACCAGCATTTTAACGTAAACAGTTGTCCATTTTACATTTTCCCATTATTGTCGTAAGCACAGTAGCTGCCGCTCACCAGAAGTCCCCAGTTTGGATTTATGGTCGTACTCAACTATCAGTCACATGTTAGGATGTGGTTAGCCTGTGGTAGCTGAGCAGATCATCCCGCTTCTGAATTCTTAAGTTGGTATCTGATGTGATGTTCAGGAGCAGCTCCAGCGGCTGGAGATGGAGCTCAGCGAGGTGGCGAAGAACAAGGAGAAGCTGCGGCGGAACCTCCTGGAGCTCACGGAGTACACGCACATGCTGAAGATCACGCGGACCTTCATACACAGCCGCTCCAGAGTGAGTGTCTTTGTGCTTGTATCTCATTCAAGATTCTTCCCTTCACCACGACAGCAGCATCCTGTGCTCTCGTTGCTGACGTGTCTTGTTTCCCTTGGCGACGGAGGTAGAGGTAGCATTGACTTTAATTAATGACATGGTCGCACTGCAGCCGCTAAGAGCAGCACCTGACTCACCCAGGCTGCAGCGTTAAAGAGAGATTCAGCGATAAAGAACATCAATGACGAGAAGGGTTTTAAGAAAATAAACATAAAAGCTATTACTGTTAGCTGTCATCAACGAAACATGTTCCTTTTCATAATTAGCATGAGGCTCTTGGTCCCCAGTATGAAGAATTCCCCACTATGGAGACCGACTCGGTGAGCGGATGCACCGGTATGCAAAGACTTGGAGCCAAGCTGGGGTGAGCAGCAGCATGTCATTGTTTGAACGTTGCCGTTATCAGAGAGAAACAAGCCCTGAACCTAATCTGACTCTCTCCTGGCTGCAGGTTTGTGTCGGGTCTTATCCAGCGGGTGAAGGTCGAGGCCTTCGAGCGCATGTTGTGGAGGGTGTGTAAAGGTTACACCATCCTCAGCTATGCAGAGGTGGATGAGAATCTTGCTGATCTCGACACGGTAAGTTGAGTTGCGCACTGAGAGATCTGATCACAGGTGTAAAGGGCAAAGTTTGTCTCCTGTGACCACTTGTGATCAGATCTCACTTTCCTGCTCCATATGCAAATAATCGTGACCATCATTTGTGCTCACGAGGACCTTCAGAGGTATTGGTTTTTGCGGATTACTCGTGGCCTCCGTAGATTGAGCAGTCTGAAGGCCGTTCCGAAATGATCTGTTCTACGGAGGATTTCTTTCCCCTTGTCCTGCTCTTATCATTGCATCGTCAGCTATTTTGAGCAGCTGCACTTACTGCATCCAGCATAGTTAGCTCATCGGCACGTAATGAATCCTGGGAAAGGTTGGCCCTGAGAAGGATCCATCCGTTGGATTCCCTTTGTTCTTCAGGGAATGGAAGGACGCATTTGAAGTAGCCTTTGAAATGTGACAGCCTAGTTGTGGCGCTGTGATGCAATCGATCTTCAGACACATTTTTCTTGTTTATCCACAATTTAACTTTTATCTTTGCTTGTCTATTTATGAATATTTAATTTTACACAGGAGGCTTTCAAGGCCCATGAATTTTATTTTGTTTATAGATCAACATATATATGAAAATGTTGTGATTAAATAAGTGATAACCAACCAACTAATGTGTCAGCAAAAAATAGGTAATTTTCATCTCTTCATGTCTTTTGCAGTATTTTAATAATAACTTGTCTGTTCTGGGTTGTTTCAGGGTGAGATCAGCAAAAGTGTTGTGTTTCTCATCTCTTTCTGGGGAGATCAGATCGGACAGAAAGTTCAAAAGATCTGCGACTGGTAAGAACGC